CCGAGAACGCCGTAGCGTGAACGTGATGTACCATTGTAAGTCGATCCATGAAGAAACTTGGGAGTGAGGTAATACGTAGCGTCCCCAGCGTCGCTCGGCTTTTACTCGAGGGTGCATCTCTAACCCTTGTACAACCAAGTTCGACCTGCAAGGTAACAGCGCAGAATTGTTGGTAGCCGATGGCCGTCAGAACGGTTCATACCCGTTTCGGATGGCTCAGCGCCAGTCCAGGATCCCAACGTATCCGTGAGGTATGAGGGTCGGTAGTATTCCTCAGAGTTTAACCTACTCGTAAAAGTAGGCAAGTAGCAATGGCCTTAATTGGTGGCGGGCCACATTTGCACACGTTGCGATGCTATCAGCGGACATTTACGGCATTTGAAGGGGATATCGGTTGACAGCCGGAAACCCCACCACGTCCTCTAGCATCGCCGCTGATCGTCCACGACCGGGTATTCAGTGAGGTAGCCCCATCTGTTCACGGTTGACCGACAAGGTTACCGTTCTCCTATCCGCGACCTGGAGACGCGCTCGGTAGCACTCAGCTGCGCTATTCGTAGACAGTTCAGTGCTTACGAGTCGAGAATTCCACACCTGAGCAGAAAGCATTATGTAATCCTTCTTTGTTCCCCCAAATGCTTTGCTCATGAATAATTGACGAGTGTGTTAGCCAGTTTTGATCACTGATAATAAAGCAGTTCTTATCCTTGAAACAGTATTTTTTTTGGGCTCGGTTAACGCAGACGCAATCTTTCCAGCCAAAAATTATCAGGGATTGAATTAGAGAAATCCAACGGATGATGCATTTATAACGATTATGACGATAGATAAAAAATAAACCACCTATGGATATTAATAGACATTTCTGTTGGAATCTTCTTACTAGCTGAAATGTGGGTCAAATTTGGTTCCTGATGACCTATGATAATATAACATGGGATGCAAAGCACAAAACACTAGACCTGATGATGCTTAGCCGGAAGTGAAGTGAACGGATGAGATTCGTAACAACTCTACGAGAAGAGGATTCGACGACAGCTGCGTAAATATCAGACAACTTTGAGATGAAAGCGCACGTATAGAAATACTAGAAACACTGCTAATTTTGCATCGTCGCAATCAGTATTGAAATCCTTTAGGAGTAGAACCCAGAAAATCACAGGAAACATCCGAAGCAAATATAAAATATGCACCAGTTGATAGGAATCAGATGGCTACATCATGCATTTTGATGTTTCCCAGTTTTCCAATCAGGAAGGTTAACAGACTTGATTGTCCCACCTATGGTGATCCCGGTGGAACAGTGTACTGATGAAGAAAATATTTTAGAAAAATACATTTCCACACTTTGAATGGAACTGTGGGATATTGGGAAACCGGCAATAGTTCCCACACACAGGGTAGATAGAATCGATGAGTAGCATATTTCATATGGCTATTAAAAACAGTATGCGCAAATTAGGTTCTCACGGTGCAACTTTCTCTTTTAAGGGAAAAAGTTTTAATTTTAGCAAAATCAGGTCAACTATTTTAATCGTAGGTTTAAGCAAATAAGCAAAACGTAATATCTGAATAGATGAACTCTTACACTACTTATTTCACGGGGTTTTGTCCACTTCTGTTAGTTGGAACAAAGCATTTCCATTTCACTATTTGGGATGAATGCGCTTTTATGTTCGGGCCGCGAATGTACGCGAGTTTTACATTCAGAGACTGCCCTGTTAAACAGACATCCGAATGATTTTGCAATCATCAAGTCCTTGATACAACAACGTCCGACCCCAATGGTCAAGTACTGCCATTATCTTCATTGATTGATCCTAGTCTTCGTTTTTTCTCCAAACGGCAAAAGACTTTATCGCTACCTGGATTTGGTGCAAAAGGGTTTAACGTAATACGAAAGATAGTTTGTATTGAAGAGTAAGAGCACAGACAGATCAAACGTACATAACAAGGAGCTGTATTGTACATCTAGTTTTACAAGGCAGTTTTGCAACTGTTACGCAAAGCGCTATCCCCAAATCGTGCAAGATATCAACGTTTTTTTCCATTCGTTATAATTTATCCCTCCGATCTGGCGGGATTTACCTCCAGCGAAAAACCCTGAAACCAAGTAGTCATTTCTACCAGGGTAAATCAGTCTTTTCAATTCTTTGAAATGATAACGAATTGAATAATGGTGTTTCAGCATATTCCTTGCGAATTACACTCAAATTACACTCGACCTTCATTGGTTTTCTTTGGCTTTGCGTGACGACCTTGAAAAAATCTTTAAATCCTCGGGTGATTTCTCTAACTGGACGGATAATGTTTCACTAAATATACATACAAGTGAATAAAAACAAATATACATCAACATTCTCTGCAGATGGATTGATTCACGTGGAGCAACAACCAAACGAATCAGATCTCTGAATTTATCTTCCTCTTCTCTAATCGACACTCATTAAAATTCACAAGGATCGTCAATTGACCACTCGTTCCTATATGTTACTCGTCTCAAATTTCAATTTAATCTTTGGAATTATAGAGTGGAATGGTTTTATAGTCATAGGTGAAAGAATTATGTTGATAAACCTTGAGTTAAGTCGCATCTTACTCAAATCGAAACTGAGAGTACGGAGTTATAAATTTTATGAAGGAAAATCGGTAGGCTGTCGATGATAATAAGCTGGGTTCCGGCGCATCACAAACTGAAATCAGTTTCTTCAAAGTGACAATCACAATTAACATCATGGGTTTCCGGCTTGAACCTAAGGTACCTAATTGTAGATGGACTAAATATAACGATTCCGATTGATAATGATCAAATTACTTCGATAGGATTATGCTCGTTTTTTATCGTGGATTTTAGCTGTCGGGGGGTTGGAGTTAAACAAAAATGTATTAGTGAAACAGTACTTTATCCAATAGTTTCAGCATTCCAAAATGATTGAGGTACAAGTGAGCACTGATGGTATTTAACACGATAAATGGCAAGCTTAATACCCATGTTAGTTATTCCCCAATGTTACGATAACAATTCTTCAAAAGATAATGGTTTAAAACCTCTTAGTTACTTTAGGATTATCAATAATACCAGATGCCTTTACCATTCGAATGGACTATTCCAGAGTTGCTGTTCTGGAAGTCATTTCGTTAGGAAATTTTGACAACTAACCAAAAAAATCATTGAAATATGTCACATAATACCATCAAGTAATTTTCAAAGGTTCCAAACGAATTTGCCTTCGCCTTCCTGATGAATCTGTTTGTCACCCTATCCGCATTCTCATCCACACATTTGTTTAGACACCCATTTGTCCCTTGTCATTTGATTAACCCACGCATATGATCGATCACTCGACATGGTCTTCCCGACTAATCACAAATGACTCCATTTCTCTGCTCGCCTACCAAGTCTGTATGTTCCCACCCCCTCACGTGACAGTTTTTCCTGAACCTGCTACGGCGTGACTCACTCTGACTACTGTTTGTCCTACCGGGTTGTTTGATGTTATTCGGATTGCTCCTCTGTATCGCTGGTCCTTGCACATGTGAGATTTGACATTATTTCACTTCTCAGTTGTTCACTTGATGGCGTTCTGAACTACCCCACTTTCTCTTTTGGTTCTTGATTGACATTGTTCATTTTGCAGGTCATGCAAATCCCTGAGAAACATCACGATTTGAGGTGTTTGTATGCAGTGGTAACCCCTTACATTTACAGTACTGCGTTACTATTCAATATTTGTTAAACCAAATGAACCCCGAGAACATTTAGGATCGACTTCTGAAGTTTCCCGTCACTCGGCGTTGGCCTAGATATTCCTACCTACTTAAAAATACTTAAGTTTCTGTCAACGGTGACCGTCAATTAGGCACGTGCTATTAGCTCCTTTAAACAGCGTGCTACCCGTTGAGTCTTTTAATCAAGTCATGGAGTCATCTAACGTGATTTATCTAATATACAACCAAAATTCTCTTGAGTTTCAATACATGTAAACTGATTTAAAACGGTTTAACTAAAACGTCTGTTAGATTGCAACTCTCTATTGTGTTCTTTTTTTCTGAGTTAACATGAACATGACTAACTCATTTAGCGAAGCAATTGCACCTATTCCGCTCAACTGGAGGAAAAGCATTTTAAAAGTTGTTACTTTGGCGGGGGATGGCTGGGCATCAACGTAAAACAACACTAGGAAGGCCAACCGTGTAAGAGATTCAGTGTGTTCTATTTTCCTTTTGCCTCCTTTAAAGTGGAGCGTCTTGCATTTATCAGCCTATAGGCAAACATTCATTGATTTGCAATTCGAAGCGTTTTACATTTCACGTATTGCCATACACTGTATGTACGGTGTGCTCAAAAAGTTAAAAAGCTTTCATGATGACGAATGTTGTCTGAATCAGAACAGCGAGTTAGTTCTCAGCGAAACACAAGTTATTCAAGAAACATAACAATTTGTACCCGTTTAGCTTAGTTCCAGACTATCAAACTGCATTTACAGGAATATATACCAGTTTGTAAAAGGAAAATTGCAGTAAGCTGTCGGTCAGAAGTAGGTCCTCCAGGGTGATCTCGTGCACTGCTTTGCACAAATGCGACACGGTGTTGGCAGGTGCTTTCAAGCTTTAAATTACTTAGCATTTTTCGGTAAGCTTCAATGTGAGCTTGTCAGCGCATACCTACTGCTCGACGAGTCCTGGGTTCAAATCAAACATGAACTCTGTCGAAAATACCTAATGAGGAGAAGCCACATAAAGTTATTTCAAGTACTTCTGCAACGCACGATTTATCACATGAACTGATGATAGTTCCTAAAACTAACTAACTAAAAGTTCATTTTAAAACATGGTTTAAATCAGTCAAAAATAGTTGCATACTTGCTGTTGAATTTTCATCAAGATTCGATCCGTCATCGACTGATTAGTAATAAAACGATTGGAAATTCTTGAGTTCCGGAGGATTTTCTACTGCTCACGGCAATTATATGGTCGGGTAAGAACAAAATCACACTCTCCTAATGTGCTGGCACAAATGATCAACTGCTGAATCTGTGGACTACACAAAATTTGTTATCAACCATACTGAAGTGTGAAATTTGACCTGTGCGATCTTTAATATTCAAGAATATAGAACATCAAAGATCAGTTAGGGAGCCCAAATTAATCAAGTGTTATTGGTCAATAACAAAATAGCACATATACATGTTGTTCCCAATTTTTCTTAGAAATAAATGCTAGTATTTCTGTAGTNAGTGTTTTGAATAACACCTGGAAAATACAAAGCCTAAATAGCAGATGCTGCCGAGCAAGCAGCAATAAATTTGGCATCACAACCAGTAAATGATTGATCTCGAAAAGGAAAACACATCGATCACAATATGCAGCACCAAAAGAGTTGACTTTGTCCTGTTCCCTCTGCTACTGTCATACATTTTTTTAGTGAGGTGACATTTAACCTGAGCCCATGGACATGTGTTCTCAAAAACCACACTGAAATTGGTGGCTTGTAACAGATCAGGCACAGTGCGATGCGCATCATGTGTCACGAGGATGAACGACGCTATGAAAAAATTACTACGGTATATTCAGATTTTAGTTTTCACATCTATGACACTCCAGAACGTTAAGAAAAAACAAATAATAGAATGTCAGTAGCTAGTCTCATGCAGCTTGGACATCACACAGATGACGATTTCTGCTAGAACCTTTTTAGTTACCGGATCACATAGACAAACAGAACAAGCAACGTTTTAATTGAAAATATTGCTTGCTTAAAAGGACACTATATATGGAGACAGATTCCTGAAAAGTTGTGATATCGCTATTCGCTTGGTGATTTTGTAAGTCAAATTTATGAACTGCGTTTGGGTATTTCCACCTTTCCACCTTTATCCACTTCCTGGTTAACTGACCATTGCTAACGTCAGTCCAGATTCTAAATCGGTTCAAACAATACTTATCGCACACTGATAGATCCCATTGGAATGCGATCGTCTTTTTTTCTTTCTCACCTTTTTTCAGCCCCTGCCGAAATCGTGGAACCCCCAACTTCACTGGACGATGAAACGTCTGAAAATATTATCCTTCAACCACCCCGATTTAGCTGCGTGGCCAGAGGCAAACCAGCGCCGAATATCACTTGGAAACACAACGGCCGAGTGGTGACAAACTATTCAAGCCGGATTGCGGGAGGGTTGGTAAGTAACCCATCAAAGACAAAGCAAGCTGATGATAAACTCATCTACTGTTGCAGTGTTGTTCTGAAGCATTGTTGAATGATATCAATAAATGTGTTTATAAGAACTGGGTCTCAGGTTGGCGCTTTAAAGATCAGCATAAATGATTTTTTCGTTTTTAGGAGAACTCCCGAAAGGTGTTGATGTTTGAGGTTATTTTAGGAAACAGATTCAATGCGTTTGTGCATTTTCTCATAGCGGTAAAAAGCATGATAGAGCGGAACAAAATGGTGGCGTTACGATGGTTCTCACTAGTAGAAAAATGTCTGGTGTGTAAACAGCACTTATTATCACCACCTGAAGTTTTTGTTCTCAAGAGCTCAAGAGCTTCATTTCATATTCCCTGCAAACAAATATCAACAAAACAGAATGTAATCAAATAAATGCATAAACATTTCAACAACCAACTGGTATTTCCTCTATCCAGATATAAATGGTTTCTGCATGCAATTATACTTTAAATTTGGGGAAATCATAGAAACGAAAATATTCTTCTTAAAACCTTTTTTAACCAGTCCGTTCAGATTCGGAAAGCTTTAGACGGATTTCCGCGATATGAAGTCTTTTCTAAAGCGGGTGGTGGTTCTGAGGATCCCCAGGTGCTCCAAGTCAGACCGTACTCGGTTATTGGATAAACTTGTTTTGTGTTGGCCATCAAACTGTTTTGCTGTTGACACGTATTTGAACATCACCATGGTAGCCTGAGGTTTAATTTTCGGTACAGAGTATTATTATATGATTGAAAGCTTTTAGAAAATGAGTAGGTCATGCCATCATTCATGCACAGAGTCGTCAGAAAGGAGTATAACAAATACACTGTGATTTGCTGGAATTCAAACCCAAGGATCAAAGATTATTAACTCAACGCACCGATCACTTGCGTAGTCTGAGTTAGCACTTAACAGCTGGCTACTAATCAACACCGTATGGCATTATGCCGATTCGACACTGCTACTGAAAGTTTGACATCATAATCCGACCCATTGGTCCACGATTCCCCAGAACTGCACCACCATGACCGTTCATTAAATGTAACCAAAGACGGAAGCAAGGCAATAGATATTCAGCAGTCGTACAAAGTAGTCCCTACCAAACTGGGCACAGTCTAACTCACAAATTATTGTTCTCGATTCGCAGTTAAAATCTGAAACAACCAATACCTAGATTACTTTCTTTGTGTGTTCACAATCTCTTGAACAAAATTATGATTGATAGTGTTTCGTCCAGATGGTGTTGTTGAAACACCAATCGATATTTTTGCATTTAGTCTTCTCCTGGAGATAAACCTCAAACTTTTTCCTGACCCACAACCTGCGATGCTGTACGATCTGTGGGTCGAGAAAACTTAGACAGTCAAAATTCTGACTAAAGTGCAGGAGAGAAATTCGAATCGATGGTGAAGTGTTTAGGAATCTTCCCCACAAATGTCTCAAACGTGTTTTGATAAACCGCAGAAAATGAAATAAGTGATTTTCGGCGGCTGTAAAAGGGCATCAATGCTCATTTACAGAAGTTATTCTAAAACTGTTTATAGATCATACTCATTCATGTAAACTTAGGCAGTTTCACAGTATACTATGTGACAGCGTTCGTCGGTTTGCCTTCATTGCAAAACGTCTGAGTTGAGAGCTACTTCATTAAAATTTCACGTTTCAATTTGGATTACCCCATAGTTATATGATTGTATACCACTTGTTTCTTCTTTAATGTCATCGGTATGCGGAAACCGAACCGAGGTGAATCCTCAAAGACACTAGGAATTGAGAAGCATGACCTACTTGTTTGAGAACTTTTAACATTAGATTTAAAGTGGTATGTCTAGCTAAAAGTGCTGTTGATCTCATCAATACACCAGTTAGTAAAAATCACTAATACTTTATTGTATTTGTCTCTGTCTTACTTGACATACAAACTATTAGTAGTTTGAATACCAACGACAAAACCCCAAGTTTCATTGAATATGCAGACAGATAAATCTGCTTATTCCACCACAAAGCTAATGGGATAGAAAAAAGCAGTTATTTGTTGGGTTTTCTTAAACTCTCGGTATTCTCAAACGAAAGTAAAATGTTTGATTGTAGCTAAAAGCAACAATTCACCGCGGTGATTTATAAAAGTTTAATGCACTCCACCTTTCATCCTTTTTCGTCAGAGTTGGACTCTGAGTGCTGGGGCATTCATCCGAGGATCGGTCGATTTCTTTTTACAAGTTCGGTGGTCGATATTTCTGTTCTCCACAATCCCCTAAAAATACTACACATTTTTTCAACAGTGTATAGCAATCTGGACCAGTGTAAGCGTCCAGATTCTACAATGTTTTTATTGCAGAGAAAACACGTGCATTGGTCGGTGTTTACTTTTTTTATTTATTCGAAAGTGGGGAGTTGATGGCTTCCAAAAACACAATGAATATTTCTGCGTCAAATTCTTGAGTATGACCTACACAAAGCGGTCGGTTAAATAAAAAATAATGCACATTAGGATAACTCATGGTCCGCCATTAAACCTCCCTCGGGACGAATCTCTTTGTTTCGCCCCAAAAAGAATGCCCTACATCTTGCAAAAAGAAAATCCCGGTATTTTGCTATGAAACTCTGAATCCAGACCTCCATGAATTTCTTGGTTGCCTTCCGGAATTGATAATTATGTTGAAACGGTGGGTAATAATTTCCACTCTCCCAACGTCTGCTTTCTATGTGTGTGAAAAATCCACATAGAAAAAGTTTGTTTCTGTTTAACTGGAGCACATCTTGAGGAACGTATTCGAAGTATGTTTGAACAAAAATACGAGTAACATCACTCCTACACCTCAGTGTTACTTAAATAAGCAAAATCTGATCACACTGGAGCATCAGCAAAATTTCCGTCTGTAAATACAATAATCAGCTGTAGTTATGTTAACTCACTAGACAACAAGAGAAAATCGTGTTTCACTACCAAAGAGAATAACCATCGCATGCACAAAAGCGGTGTTTGGAAATGTTTGTGTTCTCCTTCTAAAGGCCTTTCAAGTGAATTAAATGAATTTCCACNTTGGACAGAGACCAAAGGGAAACAAAAAGAAGGGCGTTTCAGTGAAACAAATCTCAGTTTTGAATAGTCTACCTGATAAAGTGATCAGTGAGACCGGAATACCAAAAGGAAACATGCAGTTTGATGTGTTTGTGTGTGTTAGGCACCAAATCTGAGATAGCGTCTCATCTGCCCGCCACGGTTAAAAAACGAAAACACTTCATCCATCCGGCAAAGTGCACGTAACTCCACTAAAACATGATTTCCGAAATAAGAGTATTCTCATTTCTGTCGAGGCGGACAGGCAATCTGTTTTAGGCTATTTTGGTTTATTTCGGTGTCAGTTTCGAATACATCGATACCATAACTGATTCTTTAATAACCGAACACGTCTAATAAAGTTAAATTGAGTATGACTTTAACAATGTGACAAATGGAAGCATGGAAATTGCTGCAGACGACATACATCCCCAGAATCAGCCACCAACGCACTTCATCAGCCTCCGCAAAGTTAGGATCAGATGGTCAAAATTACTGGTTTGTTAGGTTCCAGATATAAAGTGTGCATATTTTTGAATGTTAGAAACATCATTTACCAATATTCCACACTGTCAAACGAACTCAAGAATAATCACACCATAATCACGCCGAATCCATTCTTTATTAAGAACTTTCTATATGAACACCTTTTTCCTACCCTGATATTACATTAGCACTGCCTTGGTGGGACAGAGTGATAGTGTTTAGTGAATTCGGTATCCTCTACCCACTGTTGCTGCAACTTAACACAATCCGCCATCCTAGCATTTTGCATAAATACAGAACCTTTGCTCACCGAAGTACTAATCTTCCTTATTTCATGAAATAATATACATTATTCAAGCCTGTAACTTCCCACAAAATGGCAGCGCATTCACACGATCAAGGACTGCTCTCTCACTAGTGCACCATGTATACAAAAATGAATCCGGGAACACATTCTTGGTTGATCAGTTTGGTGTTTTCGTTGTTGATTATCATTTCGGATGAAAATTTTGGGCACAGAATGACTGGTTACCGGTCACAGTCAACTTAAAAGCAGAAGTTGATGGGATCCTGGTATTTGAAGAAAAAATCAGTTTTCTATAATTAGGATGCAAATAACCGTCGCTACTAAATTACAACATCACCCAAAAAGTATTTATTCCAAAGTCGCTAATATCCATACAAACTCTTTTTGTACATAAACCAAGCCACAGAACGATACTGTTTTGAAAACTATTGATTCAACAGGGCACCGGCTTCGTTCATATAAGGACCAGTGTTCAGTGTATTCAGCTAACCCAGGAAGAATTTATCTGGGAAACCAGCAGTGAACTTTCCTGGACACAGCCCAATCAAACCGGCTCGGATGAACCCGTTCGCAATTCACAAATGCGGATTGATTTCGAGCCAAATGCGGAAGGATCCTACGTGTGCGAAGCAACCAATCTTCTAGGCACCGTGTCCTCCTCTACTGTCCGGCTAAACCTACGGTGTGAGTTAGCAGTTTCTCCAATACGGTTACTTTTTCATTCCGAAACAATCATTTTCCATAATTTGTCCTCATATTTGTACAGCGAGAAGGGTGCATATTTTTTCAGTTTCTTTATGGGTTTTATTTCAATAATTGCTTCATCACTAGGGTGGAACGTTGTTGCTTAATGAAAGGAGAGTATCTTCGGCATGTACATTTTTTATTTTTATTTCTTTTCATTGAACACATAAACATACAATTTTCAGGAAGAGGGAAACAACCATTCAAAGGGCTGCCATATCAGAAAGACTAAATGGGGTAAATCGAGCGGTGATGGTGGGATTCGAACGAACTTTCCTCGGGAGGATAATATGGTGACGTTGTCAAGGTTTAACTAGCCAATGATATCTTATATCAGGTTTGCACCAAAACACAGTAAACTGATCAAAAGCTGTTCGAAAAATGTCAGAGCACGGGCAAACAGCCACAGCTCAGTATACGAACACCCGGAACGTTTGCTGTCAGTAACATATGAATTTCGTACCAAAATGTCCCTTTTAAACTACCAAATCTGTCTCATTCAACGATCTGTAGACTAAATGATCTATCTAAAACCCAAGAAAAAACATTCTAAACCTTAACAAATGCGTCTAAAAAATGTGACAACTAAAAACGAGTCATATCTTGTCATCTCGAGGACACCGGGAATACGAAAAATTTTGAGAATACGTTTTGTCATCTGCATCCCATTCCCTCAGTTGGGCTAAGGAGATACTTGACTGAGGGAGGAGGATAGGGAATACCATTTTCGTTATAGGTTTGAAAGATTTTGCAGGAAAACTCAGGTGTTTCAGCTGCTTTGTAGGACCTCAAAATCTGATGTCTTATAAACTAACCTGTGGCTAACCGTCCACAGATGTGCTAATCCGATAAATGACTTATGCAAAGCGGACTGGCAGAAGCTGGAAAAAACGTTGACAGAGATAAAGTACTTCTTGATATCACGAATCCGGGTACTATTTAACCCACTTAAGGAAAAAACCGAGCACTATGCACAATCTTTCTAGCTTTGCCCTAGGAAACACCAAATTGATGGCCATAATTTCATGAATCGGAAGCAAATTTATCTAATCATTTCGTTGCTCGTGGCTTTCAAAAGAGTTGCATCCCTTTCTAGTTGTCAAGTGAAAAGTAAATTTGTTCGAAAGTCGGAATTACTTCTGCCAAAGTCGCCATATTGGTCATAACATATCGATCTAAATATTTTTATGCGACGGCATAAAATAAGAAGAACGTCCCGGCACCAGTTATCCGTTACTTTCAAGGGACTGCTAATAATTGATGGGGATTGAAATATATTTTTCTCCATGGGAAAAGCCCATCAGTGGCGGATAAAACGTAGCATTGACGTTCAAAACCAGTGAAATTATAGGCTTTCAACATGGTTCATGTCTTCAAATGACAGGTTTCTGCAATCACTGCTTATAAAGAAATTAAGTGACGTGTTGTTGTTTCCCTTGACTGAAAACCCGTTTGTCACACAATTGATAGGATTAGATAATCCTAGGCATGAATTGTGAAAAATAATACGGTAGATGGGGCTAAAAGTAAAGAATATATGCCACCTAAACGTTTGTACAGTCCAAGTTGTGCCACCTGTACTGTGAAAGCATACCAACAGCACTGACCTCCTCCAGGTTGACTCATCCACTCAAATTCAGAGATACATGGATTCCACACAAATAAATTGTTATCAATAACCATCGGAGCTCAACGAATGAATTTTCAGCCTGGGGTATGTTTCGAATTTTGTTCTTTTGGGAGGTCATATCAGACGGCAGTCCCAGGTTTGAACTGAATTGTTGATGTCCACGGGTGTGTCGGAATCTCTCCAAAGCCAGCGAGTTTTCACAATCCGAAAACCCAAGACTGCTTAAAGGTACCATATTGAAAAACAGCAAAACATTAATACGTACACAGGCTGATAAAGAAGCTGATTGAATGTTGTGAGAATACTTGGCACTTCGTAAGAATCTATAGCTGTATATGACAGGTTGATCCCCAGAATTCGTAAACCTACCAAATCGGCCTAGGGTCTTTAATCACATTCATAATTTATTTACATCGCATTGTTTCTTTAGAGATGTATTTTGCGTACGAATCCCTTATTTGAGCACCATTTGATACCCGGGTATAGCATATAAGGATTTCAGTAAACTTATGTGGGAAAAGAACCATTTTGCTCCGCTATGAAGGAACCAATTGTCCATATCTACCTGAGCCTACAACTGCAAAGAATGGGAACCGATTCAAATGATATGTAGTGCTATAAACCTCACTTAAAAGGATAACATACTGAATTTCGTCATTTGCGGAGCACATAAATCGTGAACGAATGATACAGGAAGCACTGCACAGCTACCAAAATTGGTCTCATGCAGACTGCGAATCTATCACGTAAGCCGATTATCTGGTAGTCAGTACTGTGATCAGCGAGGTTTGACACCCGTAACAAGTTCTCAAAATGGATTGTGCAATACGGTGTGCAGGTCAAATAAAAGATTATCAGATTTCCTGCTGGATGATAAGGTGAGTAATATGCTATCATTCTGGATATGGGGCCCAGGCCTCAATCCTGAGACAGGTCGGTGGATCCGGACTGCCGAAGAAACTCTGTCAGATCGAAGGAGCTGCAAAGCGCTTCCTGGAGTTTGGTTCACGCTTCATTTACTCTGTGCATGACAAAAATCACAGAATAACCGAATTCAATCTGTGATGTCTCATGGGACAATTACTTGTGATTTTTTGGCTTTTAAAGGTGTACAATATTAAAAATCATTTTTTTTTAAACAAAATGCATGTCCTGCTCTGACCGTGCCCACAAATATCAAAGCTAGCATGTTATTTATTTATTGTAAATATATATTTGTATATATAAAAGAGTGAGAGGGGTTGTTCCACTGGATAGAGTATCACCATTGTGACGATGTATCAGAGCCTATAAGCATCTTGCCCCGATCATTGGGAAACCCACGGCTAAAGGACGCATTGTAAGCCAGAGAAAAAAGTTAATTAGGATATAAAATCCAATGCAGGCAAGTAGACGGTTCTTGTTCTATCCGAATCAGTTTTCGTAGGTTTACGTATACAAAAATTGCAATCATTTTACAACATTTTCATCGTCCACTCGTAAATCTAAATGAAGCCGTCCGGCTGCTTATTCCTACATCCGCCTCAAACATTTTCCACTTCAATTAGTATAAATATAAAAATTGTGTTTCTTGTCATCATGAACTCAGATGAGCAGTAGCCTCTACGATTTGCTATTTTGATTTCTCACGTTTGAAGGGGTTTTCGAAATCACATTCACATCGTTTTCTTTTACTGTCCACCGTGTTCAATCATTTAGATGCCCCGAGGCGATTGCATGAACGTCTAATTAAACAAGCCCTGACGCAACACGTGGATCGGACCGATGGCGACACGCGTCGATCGACGGAACTGCTCAATGACCCACCCCCAACATCAAGCTCTATCACCACGGTCCATGGAGAACATCCAGAACTGTCCATTTATTGTATTATGCGATCCAACCCGCCACCGACTAGACTGGCCTGGCACTACGTACCTGAAAAAGACCGTTGCATCCCAACCGTAAATCACGCCATATGTGGTTGCCCGGACGATAAATTATTGGCCGCCACAGACGCCACGCCAAAATCGGAATCCATTAGTTCCCCTTCCATGTATCGAGCAAAACTGGTTCGTGGTACTGAAGCAGCCCGGTTCGTCACTTCCGTGGTACGGCGAAATCCGGTACACGATGTGGAGACTATCGTGGTCGCTCAACTTCTGTTCGGTGTTGACAGCAAACCCGAGTTGGGGACATATGCAGCGTGGTTAACCAATCCGGTTGGATGTGAAGTGTGCCTAGTGCAGCTACAGCAACCTTGTAAGATTCTGATTATCCTGATCTCGGGTAGGCTTTTGTTAAAATGCACCTCGAGGTCGCAACACACGCACATAGTCAAAACCACTCTGATTCGGTACCTCAAAACATAAAATTCTATTTAAATGTTATCAGTCTGTTATATATGTCCAACCGACAAACAATGATCTAGATCGTGTGGTACAAAAGTCATCTTTCAAGAAGAAGATTGTTTAGAACTGTTGTCAAATTCGTCAGTTAACTACTTCAAAACTCACCTTCTACGTAAAGAATGGTTTTGTCTGCAACGTGAACTGTCTAATGTTGAAATAACTAAGTCATTTTCGTCAGAAATATATAAAAGTCATGCTCAAACTTGTCAGGCAAAACGTTAGACTGTCAATGAGATGCTTCATCTAAAACATCCAATCGATTAACTTCACATTTTGCATCAAATGTACTGTTACATATCTTACCGGATTATGATTGCACACATCATAGTTATTATGCTTTGAACAAATGATCGACATTTTCATCAATTTATTTATTGATTTTTGAAATAACTGTCCTCACAGCAGTGGGCTAAACCACACCTAATACAGGAAGCAATGATTTCCGGATAACAAGTAAGTAGTAGAAAAAGAATAACAATCATCATCGACAATTTAATCTCCCAAAAATGCTGGAAAGAGTTCTGTATTTGAAATTTGATCACAGACAATCTAGTACATTATTCATGTTACATAATGTGTGAACAGTAATACTGAACTTTTGTCTTATCACCAACTGAGATTTCAGTAGCACAATTACGGATTTATCTATGAATAAATAGATTCAGCAACTGGAAATTTGTAATTAGAAAATTGACATCAGGCAGAATTTTGCGTGGTTTGTTCACACTTGGGATGTTTTTTCCATCCACGTGATACTCGTAATCCTAACTCTTCATAAGCCGTCGAACTTCAAAAGGAATAAATCGTGCCAACTAACAACCAAGACAACATGTGAAACGTGTGATCTTCCCGATGATATGGTTTATGATTCTCGCCCAATATAACCTCAATATAAGCAATCTTTTGTTGCCAGAGGTCTGTTTCTGAAACTATAATATTTTTAACGCTTTTCAACACTTATTCATACAACCTCGGTTTCATGATGGAACGGCTGTGATGTATTAGGCTAAAAATAGTCGTGATGAATCCGCCGAAGAAAGTAAATTGGCTTATCATGTTTGAGGCAAATAATCTCATGAATGATGCTGAATTTAGATGTGAACAATACTGTTTATTTCAATTTATTTTTAGCGATCCGAAATAAAACAAAGTAGAAACTTCAGAACGAGTAAAATAACTAAATATATAATAAAGTATTTCCGTAGTAAATCTCAAACGGACTTCCCTACTTAGAGTGGCAACATTTTATCATCATTTGGGGAATATTTAACCCAGATATGAAGCTTAGATTCAACCAATTGCTTTCAATTTGTTGGCGGATTCAAACAGAACACGCTTGAAAATATTTTACGGTTTTCAGGACGCAAATCAATCCATTTTGAAGTTGCCGGTTCCGATATCTTAGAAGCTCAGCAAATAGAATGGAAATGTTTTGCTCACGGCTGAGTAAAATTTATCAACCAAGCCGGACCAAAGTTTTTCCCAAATATTTAAGATGCCGAAAATCTGGTTACCACCTTGTGTAAGCCTCTGTGCAGTAACCCAGTCATAATAAACTACAACACCTATCAAACAATAGTTATGTCTTTGTTAATAAGCATACAATTACCTGCATCCTAGTACCGATAATAACTGTCCGGAAGTCCAGTTGCCTACCGAAATCAACACTTAGATGGGGAATGTGTCATTGTCTGCGTTGCGTGCTTTGTAAAGTTACGGGAAAGTTTGAAGCCTTCCGCTCCTACTGTTTAATGCATAGCATTTTATAGTATTTGGAATAGTATTTAAAATGGGATTCCAGAATTCGCGCAATACCAATCCCCGAAATAGAACAACTTCGAATGGAATAGCACACGAACTTTATTCGAATCGTATACTATGCATATTCAATACATTTAAAGCGTACAATGAATTTCGAGGTCAGTGTCACACATCACACATTGGCATCTTGATTGAAGCAAAGCATCAGGTCTCCGCTTTTGATTGTATCTTCTCTTCGAGCAACTTTCTCCCCAATACGCCACTAAAATCAGTTTGTAAAAGGATTACTTTTTGGTTTTTGACAGCATCTGATCAAAGTGAGCACTTCAGTCTCATGATCTGACAGGATTCCATAGTTCTGACTGAGACATTACCAATATCCAATCCTGAAACTATAATTTAGTTTTTACAAACTGTGTTTGTCAATTTACACAGAGAATAATATGATATACGTTGTGATGCACTGGCTAATAGAGGAGGACAAATCAAAGTGAGAAAAGTTTCCTGCATTCTGCAGACTTTTATAATAATGCCGTTCTGCAGAGCTAACCTTCCCTGACAAAAATGGAGAATAAAGTTGTACCCTCATCCTTGTAATTTCGTGATTCTAACTGTTTGAATGAATGTTTCAATGAATACCACTAAGCCACTCACGGCTTCTGCGAGGCAAAAGTTATAGTGTTTAATAGGATGAGGACACGTGCTTTCGGATTTTAGTTGACTGTGGTTCTTAAAGCACTTCTCAATAGTTGTAGGTGTTTTCCTTTGCAAATAACATGAGTTGGGTTGGGATATCACTGTCATTCAACTACACCAAATTGTGTTGATTCACGTTTTCAGTGTGAAAGCAAATAATGTGAAGCATTTATGAATCTAACGATAGACCTTGGTCTAAGAACCGAAGTTGAATAGAAAAGAAAATATATTTTAGACTGAATAAACGTCTTTGGATTGTAATGTTTTGAATAAACCACTTCACCTATCGGGGCACCAAATAACAAGAATGCAATGCTAACGCTTGTTTCTGTGAGAAACAAAGAGATTTATCTAAAGATAACATTTTTAATTAACCGTTTGCTCAAGATGACAAGGAAAAGTTCAGGACTCCAAACTGTGAATTTACGCCAGGGGCTGCCTACAATTGCAAAACAATGGTCCAATGAACTTTGCTGAGAATCATGTAATAATTCCCATTGCAAACAAAGGGGGCATTTCCATTCATTAGTGATGTGTGCTCATAAATTATGGCATTGACTGATTGTTAGTGGATGAACCTGGAGAAGTTGCATGGTCATGATACTCACTGGGGTGATGTGCCCGTGAACCGTAACGCTTGACCACCGCACCCCATAAAAGCAGTGTCTCACCTTGCAAACAAGGTGATAGATAGGCGCAGTAATATGATTTTGCGAAATTTGCATAAAATGAGTTGATGTTTTTCATCTATTCATAAAACAGTTCCAAACATTTGATAAGGCACGTATCTCTTGTTCATTCTACGCGTCACAATCGTAGTCTGTTTTTGCGTTTTAATCGCAAAACATATCAACACTCACTGAGTAAAACAGGGCGAAGTGACAATTTAGACCAATACAATTTTAATTTGGAATCCGCTGTATGAGGGAGGTTAATTATTACTAGCGTTCAAACAGTTGCTTTGAGGGAGCAACAATCGGTCTACAAAAGAGGGTCAAAAGATAATCAAAAGCAACTACACCGTGGATAGCTTCCAGAAGGGAAGAAATGCATAGGTATCGCGCTGCCAAAAGCCTTGCGAATTTGCATAGACGCACGTACGGAGGTTAAAGTCTTCTGTTCAGTATTGTAACCCTGAGAGGTATTCGCGTGAGCCCCCTATTTGGGTGAACCTATCAATAAAGGAGAATCCATCTGTCTCGTTTGCGCTCTCGCACATATAAACAATGTTTCACAACAACAGTTTGGACGGACACAAAATGAGACGAAAATAAATTCTGTAGGTCTGCTCGTGCGTGCTTGTTTTCAACAAGAGAGATACAGGTGAATGCTCATTAGTGGGAAACAAATGACGCTGAAAACAAAACAAACCAGCATAATGTTTTTTAAACATCAACAAATACACGATTGAATGACAAACTGGAACTCACACAGTGAATCAATTAGAAGAACACAACTTATCTCGTCCACTTCGGTCGTCTTTATTGTGTGTCCGGACTACAGCAGATGCTCCTTCAACACACCACTCACTAGATTGGGGAAAGCAACCCTGAATAGCCTGGTTATTTTAACCGCGTGTGATCTTAAATAACACCACGTGATCCATTCGTGAAAGTGTATCGTTTAATTTTGTTACTGTTTGGCTCAGTGTGAATGAATCAGATTTAAAGTGGTAGGAAGCTGTACATACTTTTCATAGATTTTTAAGTATATTTGCACGTGATGGAAGTTTGATGATACGAAATCTATCTTTGGTCGTCATTCAAAGAAGAATGAAACAAATGGCAACATTTTCACTAGTGTGATAAACTACTTACGGACACAGTGCGCTTCAATATGGAATGTAAATTACATAATGGTTACAACAACTGATTGATTCTTTACTCTATCAGAACAGAAAACGCGTATGTTTGAGCGGCTTCCAGAACCTTCATTGCAACTTAGAGGATTCTGATGAGAGTGGAATTCAAAAACAATGGTCGGGTTAGGAAATTAGTTAGAAAGTATGCACCATCGAGGAAGACATGCAGAAATTTATACTTTCGAAAATCATCTTTGATGAACAAGTATGATTATGTTGTTCCGATTTTGGTCTGAAATAATCATTAACTCAGCTCAAGTGAAAGTAATCACAAATTCCAGGCAATCGCTTTTGACCGATTGTCACGATTGTGATTGGAACAGAAGAATATACGAACCCATTAGCTCTTTAGGTATGTACCACAATCATTATGGGAACTTTTATTCATCCAGGTTGTTTCTGGTTTTGGTGCATAACTGGACAAATTTTCTTTTATCTGGTTCTGTGTTTTGCACATGCTTCCTAATCGGAAGTAATCTTTTCTGCCAAGATAAATTATTGATTGTAATTTGCTCATTATAAATTTTGTGTTTAACAGGAAAAGCAAAATCCACCATCCGCGTATGTTTTCTAGACAACAGACCAACAATAATTCTGCGCATACCGTCTTAATCCGGCATTTTGAGAAAACATTGCTGCGTTCTACGCAAACGATGTTTACCTCCAGACTTGACGAACCATACTTCTTACCCATGAAATGACATACTTGACGAGACTAAAATAAAAGAATGTAGAGTTTTCCAGGTGTATAGCTGATAAGATAAACTTAGAAATAGGATTACAGTAAAACATTTATATTACGGTAAATGTCGTCATGTATACAGCAAATGACGCGTGAACTGAAAAGCTAAGAAGCACAGAACAGCTGTTTCGACTTGGTTGAGTTTTATCAACGCTGTGAATCCATCTACCCGAGTGGGGTTCGAACCCGGCACCTCACAGTGTACTACTCACTCTGACACCGGGCAGCGGTTCGGACCACTTTCCATATTCCTTATACACTTTATAGTACTACCCGCCTTTGAGAGCTTAACACAGGCATCTCTACTTGCGCCTATCAGCATTAACTAAGTTGGAAAGATTCCAAACTATTTATGTGATAAGTGATCGAAATGTCGTAGTTTGTGGTAAGGCACCGGTTCAAGATGTCCTATTCGCAATCCGCTATTTCAATTCACTAAACCTTTCTCATTATAAAAACTGCAGTGATTGCTTAGGTATACAGATATTTTGTCCATTTCCACTAATAACTGGCTCCACGTCTCGGTTCAACAAATTTTACACTGTGCAGATATTCCACCACTTGTTCCATGTCGAAAAAGTTCTTGAAGTATTTAAGAAGTGATTTAGGACAAGTGCTTATGGTAATCGTAGTCCGACCATTATGACTTGGAACATAATTGTTTGCATAAAAATGTCCATAACGAATCAAGTGTTAAGAGTAGAATCAAAACAAAATACAAACAGGGGGAACGAATTTTAAATGAGGCTGAAGTTCAATAGAATAACATAACTTCTATTCACATCATGTGGCAAGCATGATATTGGGTACAGGCATCTTCGGTGAGGAAATAAAAAATATTATAAAATGGTTTCATCGATTCTTATACGCCAACATTTTTTGTCTGCATATAACAGCATTATACCCAGGCGAATTACACGACGCTATCTAGTAGCAATAAATATTTAATTGACCAACAAATGGGCAATAAACGTGTAGGTTCGAATATGGCTTTACACTTACGCAACTTGCGTTTCACACTTATTCTACTCTGTAATCCATAGTTATGAGCATTAGAAGCAGTTAGCTCAGTGGGCACCAGTGCCTGCCATTCTGTTACGGAAACCGGGCACTGGGACTTGCAGAAGCGAACTGGTAGCACTGGGATGGGTGTGGTATTGAGCCAGACAAAATTAAAGCTGCTTGCCTTGGAATTTCGTTGGCAGTGGCAACAGAACCTAATAGCATACCCAAAATGCCTCTATTTCAAGTCACTTTTCAATCATCAAGGTTTATTTTTATTGACTCCACTTATCGGTTCCGCTATATGGATTTCGAATCAATCAATCATTTTACTCATATAGACTAATAATCTAAATTGCAGTGCGTACCTGCCAAGTGAATCCCGTATAACAACCAAAAACAATTTGGTTATTGTAAAAGAATCACTTACATAAATCCTTATAAATAATTTTCAAATATTGATTATGCTGCCATTAGGCCAAAAGTCTCAAGCCTGCGACCGAAGAACGCCCGGAAACTGAACTTTGAACACAATGCCTGCCTTTTGGAAGTGTTCCTATGCTTGATTCATTTTCGGACTCATTCGTGTTTAACCAGTAAATTACGGTCAGAATTACCAATGAACCCTGTCTAATGTAGACTACCGCAAGCGACATAATGAATTAAGTAAAGGTTTGCCGACGTCTGGGTAATTAGAATGCAATCTGCTGCCAACCTGCCGCCATATCGGCCGCCGGATCGCCGATACCGTCTATCTTTAGAGTAATATGAGAGGAGATCGGTCGTGGACCACCTGATATGGATCATGTATCTCAATGGGTGGAATGGAGCGCTCAGACCGGGAAAATTGTTGATCAGAATCCGATTCCGCCGCACCGGGTAGATTTTTACGATGCTAATGGAACAAAACGAAATGATTCTTCCTTCCCTCGCTATCATCACCGTACTAAACCTGTTTATCGCCTCAAACGGCATTCGGTTAAGTCATGGATACCAAAATAGAGCTACAAACTTAAAATTGAAATCACTAAACGCAGGAAACGTCAAATGCATCGAAAACCTATAGGGAAAAATTCGAAAGGTCCCATTTGCGAAAGCAATTGATTGAAGATTTGACCGCACACAGAGTTCTAACTACCCAAAGGTAAATTGGTTAAATACCATCTGATCGTCATTGATTACATTCCATTCACCATGTGTATACAGTGCCAGAGAATGAGCATTGCACAAATAACCACATGTGGAAGGAGCTCTATCAGAACCAGGATTTCTCCTAATAAGGATCTTCACATGTCACCCCGTACAGATTACAGCATTTGTTCCTAAAACAATCGTGAGTTTTGATGCAAAAATGCTACGGGGATTTGAAAACTATCTCTTTCGGCAGCATTAACGATATGATTTGTCTATCAGGTTAGGTAAAATGAGCCTGGTTACCCTTGAAGGAGGTGTATGAAACCGATTGAGTTTGTAATTGACATTATATCAGCATAATAATACTGTCTCTCATTGATGCACAGTACTTCTCCTTCTATGATCAATTAATAAGCTATTGAATCTAATTAATGAGCCTTTGTGGCATTTTAAACACTGATCCCTCAGCATCTCATGAGTGGATATCACCACAGAGTGCGTATGTAAATGAGTCTTGGATTTAAAGTGCCAGGGGTGTCCACTTGAAAGGGTCTCGAATCTCAACTTTGCATGAGACCGGGTAATGCAATTCTCTGGTATTTACGGAGTCCACCGTTGAATGGATAAACTGAGGGTTGCGCATAATGATTAGGATTAAAAGGCATTCATTTGAAAGCAGTGAAACTTGCGAACCTTTTCTGGTCCAGCGCATGATAATATTCCACAATTTATGTATGTGGAAAACGGTTTTCGCAGAAAAAGTTATTTGTGATATATCGCATAACATGGATTATATGTATATAAGTTGATCATAGTAAAAATATTTGATTGGCCGATTACAAATCAGCTTAACGCTGACAGAGGCCAGAAAGCAGAACAGGGGAATATGACATGGTGGTCAATATTAGAGTCCTGAAGAAGGTATCAGGACAAAGGCAAAATTAAATAACGATAGAGAGATGGGCTGATTAAAATGTTATTGAAAGTTGTGAAATAAAGCTAGAGAGCGGAGTGTATTTACGTAAGATACACTAGAAAATATATGTCATGCATAGCATGTAATGTAATGGAGAAGGGACAATGGAGACAGCAATATCTCACCGCCAAAATTGTGGTAGATGATAGTGCGCAGAGGCGGGTGTGTTGGGAGGAGGATTGATGTTCTGATATATACAAAATTAATCTGGA